AATGAATGAATGAATGTACAGACGATGTGTGTTATATTTGTTTTGTTTTTTTGAGAAGAATATTTTTCTTCTAACTCACAATCATCGATAAAAAAAAAACGAGTTAATTAGAATAATTTGTTCTTGTTCTCAATATCTGTTTTAGATTAAATCAAGCCATCGTTCTTATTCGAAAAGAAAAAACGTACAGGTGTTATTGTCGATCATTTTCATCTTGTCGATATTTTATCTAACATGCCGCTTAGTTTGTTATTATCATCACGTTCAAAAACTGATCATGTTAAACAATTAAAAGAATTCTTTGCTATTATTGAAAATGAACAAGATAAAGAAAAGAAAAATTATGAAGAAGTAAAGTTTTTTATTTTTGATTATTAAATTTTTTTCTTTCGTTTAGGCAATAAAAAATATTCATAAAGCATTACTTGCATTAAAAGATAGTCTATTTGGTGCACGTGATAATAATAATGAACCAGCAATTACGGATATTTCACAATTATGTAGTGGAATTTATTTACAAGGTCTTATTATAACAATGATAAATAATTTAGGTCGAGTTTCATTCGAAGATCGAAAAGAAATAGTTGCAATATTTAATAATCTTTTACGACGACAAGTTGGAACAAAATTTCCAGCTGTTGATCATATTATTCAAGGACGTGGAATTTTATTTAAATTAATTGAAGGGTAATTGAATGAAAAGAAATAATTTATCTTTTATGATATTATATATATATATATATCTATACCATTTATAGATATGAGAATGCAGATATTGCACTTCATTGTGGAATGATGTTACGTGAATGTATACGTGTTCAAGAATTAGCAGATATTATTTTGAGATCATCAGAATTTTATAAATTTTTTGATTATGTACAAAAGTCAACATTCGATATTGCTAGTGATGCTTTTGCTACTTTCAAAGTTCGTATTCAATAATTTGTCTTCGTTCGTTCTAGAAAAATAAATTTCGATGATAGACTTTTATTCAATAATCGAAAAATAAAAATAATCTAATGGTAGTTGAATGCACTGTTTTTTCTAGAACTTTAAAAGAAGTACGAACATAAAAATTCATTTTTTTTTTGCTAAAAATTTTCATTATGATATACAATTCATTTTAGTAGTTTTTTTATTCTAACATAAACATCTATATCACAATTTGTATTTTACTTTTTTATTTTTAGGATTTATTAACAAAACATAAATCTTTATGTGCAGATTTTCTTGAACGAAATTATGAACAATTTTTTACTAAATATCGTGATTTACTTAATTCAGAAAATTATGTTACACGTCGACAATCTTTAAAAGTATGACAAAAAAAGAAAAAACTTTCTTCTTATATACGATATTGTATATTTTAGTTACTTGGTGAATTATTACTTGATCGTTATAATTTTTCCGTAATGACAAAATATATAACAAATCCAGATAATCTTAAACAACAAATGAATTTATTAAAAGAAAAAAGCAAAAATATTCAATTTGAAGCATTTCATGTTTTTAAGGTTGAATCAATTATTTTTAATTTTCTAATTAATATTCTTTTATTTATATAGATATTTGTTGCAAATCCAACTAAACCTAAAGCAATAACTGATATTCTTCTTCGTAATCAAGAAAAATTAATCGATTTTCTAACTAGTTTTCATGCAGATCGTAAGAGTTCTTTTTTTTTTCTTGTATTTTCTTATATATTGATCAATGAAACTATTTTAATAGGTACAGATGACGAACAGTTCAATGATGAAAAAGCTTATCTTATCAAACAAATTAGTGAATTAAAAGAAATCAAAGCTTGACATCAAAACATTTTTCTTCTTCATTCGTATATGTGTCATATGTACAAATTCCTTTTTTTGTTTGTTCTTTCTTTCTTTCCTATTGCTCATTGTATACATACAGATGCATGAACTTTCCTTTTATTATCCTTAAAAGCAAACTTGTGAATACGCCTTTTTTCCTGTTTGTCTTTCATTGATAATTTGTACAATTAAAATTCTTTGTCATGCTATCAGTCCTTTTTTCATGTTCGTTTGTTTATATTATCTTAATGTAGTTGAATACGGTGTAGATGAACAATATTAGATTATTACATATTAGGAGAAACAAAAAACAAAAAATTAGTAAATAAATGAACGATTATGCAATCAATCAGTTGAATAAAAATATATATACTAAAAAAAAATAGTAATTTCCATTCTTGTCGAATGAATTCATAACTGAAAACAAATCTGACTGGTTATATTTATAATATTTTATTACAATTAATTAGTTTATTACCAAATCAATCTAGCATTATTATAGTCTCTATGTTTGGCTAGAAGTTCAATAATTAGATTCAGACGTATTCTTGAAAGATTGTGAGTATTGTCAGAAATTTTTTGAGTAAAAATTAAGAAAGGTGAAATGTTATTTTATACATAGGGTGCCATAAAAAGTTTTCATCTAACTCTCTTACAAGATGTATTTTGAAGAAAACTAATCTACTACAATGCTTAGATATAGTTAGGATCAAGTGTAGAATTTCATAATTCATAATCGAAAGCATGACACATTATAGTTGTGTCATAATGATAAAAATATATTAGAATAATTGAAAGTTGACACCTTACAAAGTAAAACGTGAATAGCGAAGACTTTTTGAAACAAAAGAATAAACAAACAAATCCTACTACTATTTTTTTTACAAACTCTAGTACGTACAATAGTTTAATAAAAGGCTAGTCTTTGACGTCTCTTGTATCATTATGAAAATGAGAAATCATAGAAAGTCTGAGTTATAAAAGCATTTTTCACACTGGATTAGAACAAGACATTACTTTCGTTACGAAACAGAAGTCTTATTGATTTTCATGCTGATATTTTCAAATGTGAGAAATCATACAGTAATTATTCTAATTGAAGATGTTTTATTGTCACATTCGCTTACGGCCATACCACGTTGAATACACCAGTTCTCGTCCGATCACTGAAGTTAAGCAACGTCGGGCTCGGTTAGTACTTGGATGGGTGACCGCCTGGGAATACCGAGTGTCGTAAGCTTTTTATTGCTATTGACTTTTTTGCCTGTCATATTGAAAAATAATCTCTCATATAAAAGTCTCAAGTGTTGATGAACATCTGTTTGAACTTAATTCATGCTACATTTCGATTAGTTTTGCATGATAAGTCGAATAATAGTCATCGAATATGTAATTTCAAAATCGAAAATAACTTATTTTTTTCTAGGGATGATAATAACAAGGGATGGTCGCCAACTAATCCATGTCATTGCCACTTAACTATATACTTTGCATGTATTTAGAAGTACTTATTCTAAGAAAAAGCTTAAGAGGATTTAGACTAATGCGACTTCCTGCAATACATTAGAATATATGCCATTTTTTCATAAAAAAAAAAAGAGAAATTATATGAGAATCGTACTAGCTTCTGACAAGTAACAACTATATACGGTGAGCAGAAGTAGAATTGAATGAGGCTAAGAAAATATTCATTTCGAAAAACTTCACCCGAAAGAATTTTCTCTTCGCGGAGTAATAAATTCCAAAACAAACAAAGTAGGTCTATGTGTAAACAAATTTTCAAGTCAAAATATCATCAATCGATTTTTTATATTTATTGTGCTGTAGATAAGAGCTCTTATTCTTGTGAAGGTTTTAATGTTCGATAAAGATCTACATTATGTATAGAGTTCGAACTCAAAAGCGATTTTCAAGTTGGAAACTTTCATCACAAGAGTTTATAGATTCTTTTTTAAATAAAATTATAATCTGTCAATAGGAATAGTAGTATTTACAAGTAATTTGAAAAAAGGACAATATTTAATTAAAACAACAAAAAATAAAAGTTAGAAAATAGCTTAGATAAACACATACATTATAATGGAATAAATAATATCACTGCATTTGTTGATGATTTGAATATTAGACGAGTACAAATAGTTTTCTAAAAATTCATAACAATAGTGAATTTGATAATTGACAAAAGACTATGTTCAAAACTGTCATTGTTTTTAAAATTTCAAAATTTCCAAACAATTTTAGAATTTTTTTGTTATTCTCAATTGCTTTCATCTATTTTATTATTTTGACATATCCCTGCAGAAGAGTTTGCTAATCCAGTTATACAAAACAGCGAAGTTACTAGGCGATGAAATTAAGTCTCTCTCAAAATTGAGTTTCTTATTTTTCGAACAATCACAATTCAGATGTCAAGAATCGAATGTTGTTCGAATTAGACAGTTAAATTTCATTCTGACTGCACGTATCTGAGTTAAAATTCGATATTGTCTATGTTATGTAATATTTCTATGAAAAGTTTTCTTCGCTTCTTCAACTCATTTCATTTGAATTACCTATCAAACGATATGTTAAGGTATAATAAAATACTATTCTTTTCCTAATTTCTTGCAGATGGCATTTGATTTTTAACATCTGAATTAACTATTCAAAAAATAAGAAATTCGATCTCGACAAGAGGCTGATTTCAACATTTAACGACTCTTCTTCTTCAGTTTTCTCTTTTGACAGTCTGAAACAAATCTTTTAGTATCATTATTAACTCTCTAAACTCAAAACAAAATAGCCTAATAATTACATCTTGCATGTCACACTATTCCATCTCTTGACATTTTCATAATTATAGAGAAAAAAAATTAATCAAATATTGACTCGCATATTTCCGATGTGCGTATAGCAAGGATAGTTGATTATTTAGGTTATTAATAGAACATATGAGAATTTCTTTTTTTTTTCTTCTTACTTTTCAGAAAAGAAAAAACCTACAAAGTACATTCATCTCTTTTTTTCTTAACACCTGCCAAGTGAACGTGTGTCACAGAACAGTTATGATCACAAACATTCATCAATGACAAGTAATTCTTGTCAAATATTATTATCTCACTTCATTTCTTATCCATTTCCATATACAACACATTCATTGGTTCTTTTTCTCTCGCTTTTCTATCAACACATTTATTCTTTTGATCAAATATGATTTCAACAACAGTTTACCATTTTAAATGTAATTCATGATGATTTTAGATAAATTAAAATATATTAGGTTTTTTTTTCTAGTAATGATCGGTCTTGTACTTTTATGTGCATTAATTCGAATAAGTGATACTAGACCTACATTTATTGATGATGAACAAGGTCCAAATCAAATTGACGATTCATTCATTAATAATTATGCTGCTATCAATGAACGATTACATAATGCAATTCCGTTGGAAGATTTTTATAATCTTAAAAATCTATTCGATTATGATAATGTTCAATTGGCTAAACGTCTAATTATGTTACCTCGTGTTGGTCGTCGTTCAATTCGATCATCATAAAATAAAACTTCTATCGAATTCTGTATTCAAAATCAAAAAAAAAAACAGCTTAAATCAAATAAAACAAAATATATCAAAGAAATTTTAATTTTAATAAATAGTAGGTGGGAGAAGACGGTCGTTAAGCAATGAAATCGGTGCTCTTCAGAGATCAATTACCATTTGAAATACACAGTTAGACCTTATTTTCTAATTGCATATAACTTGAATCAAACCTTGATAGTATTTATGTTCTAAAATGTTTCTATAAAAATTTTTCTTCTCATCATCAATTTAAATCATATATCATTCCATAGGCTCTGTCATGTTCTACAAAATGATATTATTGTGTTCAACTTAACTTGTATGTATGACACTTAGTCAAACACACAATGTTTCTCAGTGCTACAAGTTGCTCTTGCTTGACTTTTATTGTCATTTAAAAATGTAGCCCTGACTCTCTATATCAAAGCTACGTCAAAGCATTAGATCAGTTTTATGTTTTGATGGACTTAATTTTTTGATCTAATCCTAAGGGAAACTAGGATTAAATTTTTGTACGAAAATAAAAGTTGTGAGAAGACTTTGCGACATGTATAGACCGATTCTATTTTCTATGTTAATTCCACAAATATCCTTTGTTTTAATAGAAAACTTGATTATTCGAACCAAACTGCATTTGACTAAAGTGTTTTGCCTACATATTAAGCTCAACGCAATAGTATCATTTTGTAGAACTTTAAAAAATCTATTGAATGATATATTACACCAATCGAATAACTGTTTTCATATTTCAACAAAGCGGAAGTTTTTTTTTTAATGACTGTTCTCATATTGTGCAAGAAAGAAACATTCTTCATTTCATCTATAAGTCAAATTAATAAAGTCACTTAAAAATCCTACTCCTTGTCCTCAACCAATAATTGCTGATCTTTCAATGGATGAAAACTAAAAAGTAACTTTATATTTGTTTTTGTTGATAAGACGAGATTTAATAGTGAAAACTAATTAAAACAAAAGAAACTTATTTTACATAGAAATAGCTATTTCTTTTGAACTACAGGTGATATAATCATCAATTAAAATGTATTGTTAATAATTGAAAAAAAATAAAAAAAGAATATATTGAACAAGAGACTTCGATTAACACGAAAGCCATTAATAATGTAATTATTAAAATAAATGTACTAATAAAAGAAACAAATGAAAGAATGAAATTAATCAGACATGATTCTCCCAAGAGCTTGTCGTAATATAGCATGCAAATGAAAATAACTATAACGTACACAGCCTTCAACAAATATGATATAAGAATACTGATCAAGGTAATTCAAGTATAATGTTTTCATGTGTAGTAGTACCTCATAATGGTGTTAACGATCTTATTAATAACAAATGTTATACAGAAAAAAATTCATCCAATCAGTCTTATTCTTAATAATCAATCACTGAAAAGAGTGCTCATAGCTTGATCTTTCGAGTGTAGATATGAATTAAGTAATTACCACCAACCATACTCACACTCTTAATGAAACAATTTAGTTCAGTATTGATAATATGATCTAACCAGATTTATAACGCTTTCTTTTCATTTCTAAAACTTATAATGAAAATAATTCATTTCCCACGTCGTGGAGCACGGCTTATAAACAACTGTTATTAGGACCACCATTTTTTTGCTGTTCCACACCTTTTTCTATTGTACCAAGAAAGGTGTTTTGGAACCATCATTAGAGATTTTCTAATGATCTATAATCGATTGGTCAGTGCTTATGAAGAACATTAATAGTATGTGTTGTTCAGATTCTTTTCACTATTTGGTTCAATAGGAATATTTTACTGGAATAAATATTTTTATTTTTTTATTTAGCTTGTGAGTATGGGTTAAGTAATATCAACACTCACACCCATCCTTTATGAAAAACTTGATTGTACTTCTTCTTTGCAGGTTTTTGCCAACTATTTTAATGAAAATTAGTAAAAGCAGGCGCAGCTGTAACAGTTTATATAGTTTTAGTAACAGTGTGGAAACGTTTAATTTTATTAACATAATAACAACAATTAAGAAACTGAAAACATTAGTTTTAAATATTTGAGTGTAATCATTCGAGAAGAATTAAAATATTTTATTTTGTCTCTTGTTATGTAGAACTAGATGGTCGATCAAGACGACTATATATATAGATTGAGATAAATTCAGGCTACCCTTTCCAAACTTACTGTTCAACTTTATAACGCGTATACCAAACTAAATAACATTTTGATACTCAGTTTTGGAACGTGATCATAGATATGTCGTCAAATTTTTATTTGGGATAAATCTAGTCTTGATAGTGGTCACTTGTCGGTCACAATTCACCATTGGTGGTCCCTACCAAAATCTCATGCATATTTTCTTGCACTCTAAATCGTATATCAAAAGATGCCGAATTTCAAGGACTTTCAGAATCTAGATTCATGTGTCACGAGCAATGCGACTCTGTGAGATTCAAGACAAATTACTAACAAAGGAATAATCACTAAAATTAATTATAATGACAAGTGACACAATCATTTTGGAGAGAATTTTATTCTGCACCGTGTGAAACCTTCTCTAACTCAAATGAACTATCAGAGACAGAAAAAAATCTCAAACCATCACAAAATAAAAAAAAAGCCACTTTTAACAATTGTGATGGTCTAACCACAGATATTTGGAGGATTGTGGTCTTTGTCATTTTTCACATGTGGGCCAGAAAAATCCAATATTTCGGATACATAAGTTTCACGGTATGATTCCTCATTGGAGCTAAAAAAAATTCAAAAAAATTTATCAGCGTATGACCTGATCGACAGTCCGGTGGAGACTCTCTTGTAATATTTAGTTTCAACATGGAAAAGTCACTTTCACATATGTAAGCTGAAATCAGGAAAAAATCGCAAGATACCGTCCAACACGAACTTTTTGATAAAAGTCGTTATTTGTGCATTTTATTGTATCACTGTTTATTTATAAAGCGATGAAGCACAATGCTTTTTGTTTTCAAGACATTTTCTTTTTATTTAGATCCTCTTTTTATGTTCTGTTCATATGAAAAATAAGTATTTTACAAGAATATTTATGCCGAAAAAAACAATATCGAAAATCATAGCCTAGAATAGGTTAGACTATTCAGATGTCGATAATGTATTAATGAAAGAACTAGAAAAAAAGACTTTGTAGAACTTGCACAAATTTTCAAAGAAATTAGTGAGTGTAGCTTTGTGGCCGATAGTGTGAATAATGATTTGCAGCGTCGATATACTGAACACTAGTGTCATCGGATCATTGACACACCGACATTGATTTTCATTAACCTCAATTTAGGGGGTGGGTGTGGGTGTGGATTTATTCTTGTTTTGAAACGACACCCACACCCACACCCTGATTAGGAAGTTGAATTAGTTGGAAAGGTGTATTTGAATTTCAGAAAATGCTTCATACCTTCATCTTCTGGGCTTGAACAAGATGAAAGTTTGTGAATTTTAAATTGGCAAACGTCAACGTATTCAATATCGCAAAAAAGTAGATTTTTATTTAGTGATTTTTTTCATTAAATTAATTTCTTATATTTCAACTTGAGAGAATATCAAATAATTGCCGTAGATGGTTTAATAAAAAAAAGCCTGAATTGTGGTCATCCTTCGTTGAATAGATATTTGGATTTTGTTAAGAAATTGTTTGTCGATGAATATGTAATCATGTGATGTAGAAACGGTGGCAAAGAAAAATGAATCGAAAAAAGATACGCATGAATAGCTTTTGTATTCTTTTTTGCTTTTCTCTCATATACATATATGCTCATTTAAGATTGTATAGAAAGAATAGAAACCAGTGTTTAACATGTGCTTCGAGGACGGTAAAAAGGTTGTTTTTCTCCTATATTGTATCAGTTTAAGTCAATAGTTTGAATTAAATTTAAAAAGTCACTTAGTTTTAAAGGGCCTGGTTGTTTTAACGAATTTCGTCTTGATTTAAGTAATATCTAATCATTTAACGTTGTGGATAGAAGCCTGCCGGTTAATGGAAGACAATTCGTATAAGTAGACAATGAGGTCTAGTATAATTATTACAAAAATAAGATATTTTCGATTTTTGCAGTCCTGTTGATTTTTCTCAACTTTTTGATGGCGTGAATTCTTTGAAAAATAAATATGAAACATAATTGGACTTGCTTTCATTAAATATTTTTTAATTATGGATTGGCAAACTTCAATACAATTAACATTGTAAAAAAACGAGCAAAAATTTTCATTGAATGATGATAAGTCCTATGATCCAATTTTTTATTTATTGTGATTTAATTCTTCGTTAGACGTAATCATCATCAAATTCCACGATATTGAAACAGCTATTTAAATTGAATGCATACTGATGATAAAGTTGAATTAATTCGTAAGCTGTACTGTGCATTAGAAAAAATGATTCATGTGTACAATATCTTCTGAATAAAATGAAAATTTATAAATTCTACATTTACAAGCTCCACCAACACAAACAATATCGGAATAATTAAAAAAATATTTAATAATAACCAGTCCTATGATCTTATACATTTCCTGATTATGATGTAATTCTACATTAGATGTAATCATAGACAAGTTCTAGAAAATAAGAAGGGATATTTATATCAAATGTATGCTGAGGATAAACTAGTACTGACTCTATAATTGTATGATAAACTGCAAAAAAATCCTTCATTGGTCGAACATTCAAATCCATTTAAAATTTACGAATAATACATTGGCAAAATTTACCGCATACAAGAGCGCAACGATAGAAAAATGTCTCATTTAGTGATTTATTTCATTAAGTTAATTTCTTTTAATTCAACTTGAGAGAATATCAAATGAATCAAATATTTGCCTTAGATGGTTTAATGAAAAAGTCTGAATTGTGGTCATCCTTCGTTGGATAAATATTTGAATTTTGTTAAGAAATCGTTTGTCGATGAATATGTAATCGTGTGATGTAGAAACGGTGGCAAAGAAAAATGAATCAA